CTTCACCACTTCCGCCGCAGTGGGTAGCTCAGACCATACATCGATACCATCAAGAAGGGCCAACGCCATTCCGCCTTCCTGGTGCGTCGTGATATGGCAATGAAGCAACGAGGGGAATGGCCCGCTGACGTGGTACCGGATCGCCATCCATACTCCACCGTCCAAAGCTGCGGTGAGGGTGTTCGTTGTGAATGTGTCACGTAGTGCGGGCTTGTCGAGGTAGAACAGGTCAGGTCTCTCGCGCATTCCTTCATCTACAGTCGACCAATTGAAGAGGCCCATTCCGTCTCCAATGATGTAGGCACGGTTGCCGTGCTTGTGAATGGGGTGGGGTGGATGGATGGGGTCCATTTCTGGGTCGGATATGATTTGTAGAATAATGTCCACCCACGTGTTGTTGAGTGTTTGGAGCGTGTAATTCGATCCTATGACATCCAGTGGCTGTTTCTCGAACATGAGGGGTGTGTCTGCTGTGATTTCAGGCTCGTATAGGACACCGTTCCCTATAGACCAATGATACGAACTGTTGATACGTGTCATGTTGGTTTTTATGGTACGGTCCGCGAATGCCGGTGGCAGGGGAACATTGAACGCTGGGAGGTTCTGCGTGTAGTTCAAGTACCTTACGCTAGCGGATGTGTTCAGTCCTGCATAGTTAATGTATCCCTGCGTTTCAGGGCCAATTTGTGCTTGCAGTCGAGTCCCATTCTCCGTCGTGTTTGCTGCACGATAGGAAAGGATAGCATAGCCGCTGATGACCTGGTCGCCTCCATTGTCGGTGACTCGAATCGCATAATCTCCGGGTGTTTGGTCCAGCTTGATAAGTGCCGAGTATCTAGCGCCGTTGTACATTCCAACCATCTCGTACTGACGCGGTTCCACGAACTGACCGTCTACCTCATATATCCACATTGGATGGTTGTCGACCGAGAAAGTGGTTCCTTTCTGCGCTTGTGCCCCAATGAAGTTCAGGCTCGCCCATCCGTCCTTAGCATCAACCTCGATTGTAGGCAACCCACCATCTGACGGGGTGCAGTTGTTATGCATTGAGGATGGGACAGCACTAGGCTTCTGGTTTGGCCAGCCACCCTGAACATTGTGCAAACCGGGTACCAAGCATCTATTCACAAGTTAGCTATAAGCAGCTTAACAAACGCATTCCTTCATTCCTGCGGTACGTACCCTCGGTCAGTCAGATTCGTCCCTTCCAACACCAACGCAATCTGGGGGCCAATGAGCGATTGCATATACTCAGCTCCCGGGCAATAAACGGAACCTTTGCCGTTTACGAGGATACTGTCAACACAGCTACACCATGATTTAGCTCGCTGACCTCAGATATTGCCTGCCGCGTCTCCAAACTTACAAGAGATTCAGACCTGAATCAATCTCGGCTTGAAAGTACTCCTGAGCAGTAAAATGGGTCCAGTCGGTAATTAGGAGTAAGTTTGAGTTGGTTTCGGCGTGCTGCATTTGGGCTACCTCAGTGGCATCTTGGGCTATCATCAAGTACGGCCGGGCAGCGTCGGGCTTATGGCTGTAAATGTGAGCTACGCTCGGCCAAAGCGTGCGGAAAGTCCTACCGAATATAAAGAGCTCCCACTTGCCCGTCTTGCAATACATTTTTGAAGTGCGAATGGTACCTACACTAGGTTAGGAGTGCAAGGAGAATTTATCGCAAAGCCACGAACCAGAATGTGCCTGCTGGGGAAGCTTTGAACTTGTAGATGAAAGATGAATTCGGCTGAATGGGCGCTTGCGACAGCCCGGGCACACCGTCCGACCACGGAGCGGATTCCATTCTACACAACGTTCTAATTAGTCAAAATTGATAAGGTGGATATCAGGAGTATCTCACGATAGACCATGCCAGTGGACTGTGGTATTGAACGGCAGGTGATTGAAAACATGTACCTAGGCCTAGTCAACGACTACCGCGTGCAGGTTTGCCTTGTGGAGAGATACCTCGACATCGTCATCTTCGTCAAATACTAAGTCAGGCCCTGGATACTTCCCATTAGTAAGAACCATTTGCCGCGGGACACCATTGGGGGAGCCAACGCCCCAGGTGAACTCCAGTGTCTCGCGGACCAGCTTGGCCTGCACTAGGCCGAGCCATATGAAGAGGGCTGTCACAGCCGTAAGAACAGACATCGGTTAAAGAAAGACCTCATTTACTGAACAAGAAGATGTGAATTGGTAAAGTCGAGCTGGCCAACAACTCCAGTGCGACTAGCGTATCTTTAAGGATTTTACAGGTGAAAATATGCGTTTTGATGTTTCCGAATACGGAAACGATCAGTCAGTTGGCATTGTGGCTTTGGATTGCTCGCGTTTTCAAAGCAAAATTACAGCAAAGCTCCGTGCTTAGAGAAAGGTTTTAATGTCGTCAGCTCTGTGGACTGATTGGTGAAAGCCACATTAACTCCATTGGCTCCATTCAAATAAGGTCTGCTTGGTATGGACCCCTTCAAGGGATGGTGTAGACGAGCTCGAACCCACAACACGACTTGGAAGAAACGAGCCTCCAATAAGCATTTCGTGGCGTTTTAGCCCAGACCACGGAGAATTAATCCTCATGCTGAGGGCTCGACGAAGAAAGGGGATTAGACCTATCGGTGAGCGTATGAAAAAGTGGTCTCAGCTGGTTGGACCAGCACGTGGAGGAAGCGCACAACCCCTTGCTTTGGAGTGCTGAATGCGTCTCACGTTCAACCGTTCAACTAAGGATGAAATACTTATCGGTAGCCACTAACAAAAGAGAGAGCCCAAAGAATGTAAAAGACAGGCGTCATATTCGCGAGGGGGTCGTAAAGCTAGTATTCATGAAGAGAAATGCTAACGCTATGGCGAGCCATGTATCTAAGGAGTTATTAGCAATGCGTGAACAAAACTACCTCAAGGGCCCTTACTGCAATATCAATGCTACTCGATCGATTCTTTCCCGTCCACAGATAACCCCTTGCATATCCCTACAGGCTGGCTAGCCACTCTTCGGATCCGACCACATCGGCCTGTTTTGCAATGACCTTCTTCATGAGGACATCGTGAACCTCTTGGTCTCGATCCAAACAAAGATCCTCGAGTACCGTCAACCCATAATCCAGATCCGCAGCCTGTCGAACCGTGGACAGAACTGCCCCGCTAGTGATCAAGCCAACCACGACGAGATTTTCGATGCGGGAGCTGCGGAGAACCACATCAAGGTCAGAGCCAACAAAGGCGGACACCCGACATTTCGTGATTACAATGTCATTCTCGTGGGGCGTCACAGCTGGATGTAACTCCACGCTTTCGTCTCCCTCGGTATACTTCCCAGTGGGAATGACTCTTTGCGCCGAGGGATTGCGAGGGTGTAAATCAGGGAAACCACGGCGGAAAGCTGTTTTCACATGAATGATGTGGATGGACTTTTCTCGGGCGGTTTTGACCACGGAGGCGAGGCGCTGGAGGTAAGATTCTTCTCTCTCCGGGGTCGAGCCGTCGAAGATCTGGCCCGTGACTCCTTTCTGGATGTCTAAGATAAGGAAGGCGGTCTTGATAGTCGCCATTGTGGTATGTTGTCTAGTTTGGGTCAGAAGAATCCAATTGTTCCTTGTGAAGTATCTAGAGTTTATATTTGGCTCCATCCCGGTCCCGCTGCTATGGCCGGTACCGGGTGGATATCCCCGGTTCCGCTTGTATGTTAGTTTTTAACTATGTTGATGCTAATATGTCTATGTCAAAGCCCTATATCACAACAATGACTATCTAGAAAGACCCCAGACCCTCCTCCCTCATACCCTCCAACCCCTTCCTCTGTCTCCCCATCTCATCAAAATTCCCCGAATCCAACCAGCCCTCAAACGCCCCCTTCACTCCCCGCTCCCATTCCCCCCTCAGTAACGAGAACCACGCTGTATCCCTATTCCTTCCCTTCACAACCATATGCTCCCTAAATACGCCCTCAAAAACAAACCCCAACCGTCTCGCCGCCCGCTTACTCCCCTCATTCAAATCATTACACTTCCACTCCACCCGCCGATACCCCAGCTCCTCGAACGCATACCTGAGCAACAAATACACCGCCTCCGTGGCACCCGTCGTACGCTGGAGTTCCGGTGCGAAGAGCACGTGCCCGATTTCGAGGCGGAGGTGCTCCGGCACGATGCTCATGAGCGTGACCCAGCCTTGGGGTTTGTTGGTGCGATGGTCGAGGATCGTATAGAAGAGGGGGTCTTTGCTGGCGGTTTTGTTCTGGATGGAGGTCGCGAAGTCCAGGTATGTGTCTTCCGGGTAGGGGCCTTCCGGGAGGTAGGTCCAGACCGAGGCTTTTGGGGGGTCGGTGGTGCCACCGACAACATTCCAGAGGTCCTGCGTGTGGGATTCTTCGATAGGGAGTAGGGTTATTGTCCGGCCAGGGAGGGGGTGGGGGGTTGGTGGTTGTGCTGGGGGGAGGAGGACTTCAGGTCCTGGGGATGGATTGGTGGTCATTTTTCAGCTGTACTAGTAGTGGTTGTAAACTGTATGTATATTGGTATGTAGGAGGTGGTAAACTGAGTAGGTGAGGTAAGTGTATTTGGGCGGTGATTAAATATACTTATTCTATTGTACTAGTTAACTATCTGAGTCATTCTTTAGTTATGTAACTCACTAACTCAACTAGTTAACTAGTTACTAGTAGTACAATGTAAGAGGAATCGCCGAGCTGCGTCATTCTCGTACCTTATTTTGTTATCTATCGAGATCGTGATAGGAGCTTGTCTCCGAGTCCCCCATGTGGGGGGGGTTTCCAGGGTTCTTACTGGGCTGGTCGACTCGTGTTTCACCATGGGGTTTGTGTCTACTTTCAATCTTTCAATTAGGGCTTGTCCTAGCAATCATTCTAATACTCGTGACTACAATGGAATCTCGGGTTCAGTTTACTTGTCGGGCAAAGGGTGCCCTCGCTGTGCTTCGTGTTAAAACCATCGTATTCATTATCATCATTACTTGATCATCCTAAATCGTTACGGCAACACCTAGTCGCCTCGACCTTTACAGACATCTTCCTGAAACACTGCGTTGAGATCGGTCGGAATCACTCCCGCCTTAACTCCATCTACTATAGTCAGCTCGACATTTTCCAAAAGTCAGACCGATACGTACCGCGATAAGACCACCGATACTCGTTCAGCTGGGTCTTCCATGTCCAAAAGATCCACCCCTGGTGTTGTTCATAGTTCTTCACCTGCGCGGCAAACCACTTCTTGTAAAAGTCCAGGTTGGAATATGGCTTCCAGTCGGGTGTCTCTTGCACGTTATCGGGGACCCCCAAACTCCACTCGCCAACAATAGCGGGCCAGTTGGTCGCCACGTTGTCGTTACACGAGGCCCTGATATAGCTATCGTGAGACACCTCTACTCGAGGATCCCATTTGAGATAGCGATGGTTGTCGTAGGCAGCATAGTAGTCATCCGTCAGGTGCTCATGGGGATCCCCGGCGCCCCAAGCCTCATCCATCATCTGGATATGCAGGTAGTCTTTTCGGTCAACGCCGAGTGCTCTTTCCACTCGGCGGATGGTCTGTTGTTCGGGGGTGTCTCAGTATGACAGTGTTTACACAGCTCAATAAAAGCACACTTACATGGAAAGCATTGGGGTAATAGTTTGAGCGCAACGTAGCCGTTACCACGGGATTCTGCACCGGCTCGTTGACGACCTCCAACATTCCCACGTTGCGGAAATTGGGCAGGGTATGGACCTTGATCGTCATCCACTCGAGAAATTCGAGTGCCCGTTGGTACTCAAAATCCACATAGAATCCAGGCGTATCGGCAAACTGGCCCGTAAAGGCGTTCTTCGCAACCTGGGCGCCAGGGGCCCCGTGCATGTCAATAATGATGTACAGACCAGCATCACTGGCCCACCCGCACAGCTTCTCGAGGTAGGCAAATCCGCCCCGTGGAAAATACTCGCTGTCGCGATAGATGAGATCTTCATTCATCCAGTAGCCTACGGGTATGCGAATTGTGTTCAGACCGTAGGTTCGTATCTCATTGATGTCGTCCTTGGTAATCCATGAGTTCCAATGTTTGGCGAAAGCTTTGTTGGCTGCATCCTGACCCAGTTTCATTACACAGTCAAATTCGGATTCCTGCCCTTCACAGCCGATCTCAGACCAGGCTTTCATAGCGATCCAGGGTTCGAACACGAACTGCGTGCCCAGGTTCACCCCCCGAATCTTTCCATGTGAGGCTCTGAAGAGATCAGTTCCATTGTTGGAGGTGATTGTCTTGTCGGTCGTTGGAAGCCAGGCGACAGTCAGGGTTGCCAGGGTATTCAGGACCGCTAGCCTGGTGAGCTTCATGGTTGTGACTTGAAAACAGCATGTGCCCTCAATGAAACACGCCCAGAAAACAAACGTACGCAATCCGGATATAAAATATCCACGGCTCTATGAGAGGTGGTTCGCCGTGGCCAGCATCTCTTCAACGGGAAATAGCCCCCAGATCCATATGTGATGAGAGATCTAAAAGGGAAAGAAAGTAAATCTTGGAACACAGAACTCTTGCGAAACATGATTGGATCCAATACTATCCGCGTTATGTAGGAGTCCCGCTGAGAATGTGCCTGACTCGCTACGAGCGATCCCATTCTTAGGGCTAAGTTTGAGTATGCGTCCTGTGCGACGGACAACTGCCGGGGGCTGGTAGGGGTAGGAATGTGTCAATCGTGTTACATTCCGCAGACGCCAGATCCAACAATAACAATGGTCTTGTGTATTTCCAATGTGAAAGGAGTGGATGATGCTGGACCGTCGTCGTCGGGGAGTGCCGTGAACTAACAGCCGAAAGGGCCGAATCTAAGCCCTGTGCCTTGAACTAAAAGGAATCGTCAACCTAGCGGTCTTTTCCGTAGCCAATGAATCCAGAGGGTCCATACCCAGTGTCATTTCGCTTGTGGAAGTCCAGCAAAAATTCTGGACAAATTTAGAAATCCGTGCAAACTCTGCGCAGCCGATAGGAACAGGCATTTTCCTGAATGCTCGCTTCAACTCATTCACGGCATACCATTCTTATCGGTTATGATTTCCGGAATGCCTCCACAACTTTGTGGACGCGTCGTCGGTAAAGAATGGACAAGATCAAGATATGTACCAGGAATCCTCCAGGCAAGAAATGTTGCCATTCTCCCTTGTCGATACCAATTTCCACAAACGCGATCCACTGTTTATAGCCCATTTTGGCGAGGTTGACTGACCTACGTGAGTCAAAACTCAGGGCTCCGAAGGCCTACTTTCAATCACGCGCGATCAAATGGGATAGAGTTCACCATCCTGTGAAGTGTAAAACTTCGCCACGGATTAGATATGTCTCCCTTTCCAAGAGTATCGGGCTGGATCTCTCCAAAGCTTGCTCTGATCGGATCCATTTGAGCTCCCGCCTGAGATATCTTCACTCGCTTAGTGAAATGACATTCCGCTGCTCATACGAAGTAGACACCCTGAATGAAGATCCTAGAACATCATCCGGGAAAATAACGGCTTCCTCTGTCCTTCAAACTCATCCAAGAAAGCAAGACCACCTTGTCTGCCTTCTCCAGTGATCATACACAGGAATTAAGACCCCCCAAGGAACTGGACCACAGAGTGAAAGAAAGTGGATATGGCGAGAGTGAGGGGAGGGGGAAATCAATTTGTGAAATAAAAATGTCAATAGGACCCCGGCACTTTTTTTCCGACAATTTAAGATGAACAATGCCTTGCATCAGCAATTGATCGACTCTTGGATCCTCCTAATACCAAAGAATGATTCAAATCAGTATTTATAGAACGAAAAGAATACTGAGATATAACTACTGTAGTGCGTAACACCAATATCCGTCAGGATGGGTAGAAGTGACTTTGATCGACTACGATTACAGACATGTATGTCTACATGGGCCATGTGCCCCCCATCGATGCAGTTGTGCGACACCATTTTCTTGCTGTTTCTTCGCTGCCGCCTGCGTTCCCCCTAGAGGGCTTTTCTGAGAGCCTACTGAGGGCACCTGGAGTAGTCAACATTAGCCCCTCTTCCAGCTGGGCTATCACCGACTGCAAACAGTCTTTCAATTCATTCATTCATTCATTCCACCCTTAGTGGGATGGTTATTGAGGCTGCTTATTCCAGTCGGGCTTTGGGGAGGAGGTGTCCATCTTCTGAAACCAAATAGAGATCAGGCATTGGACAGCTGTTGAAAGACGCTTGCACTTGGGGTGGCTCTATGTCCACAGTAAGTACCTAGACGGATTCCGTGGCTCATCTGCTGTGCTCTGTCCGTGTTGGTGTTTGGCCAATTGGGCCCAACCAACAACGCAGAATCATACCACCCATTGCTCAAGCCAAGCTCGTGTTTCCCTTTAGTATCCGTGCGTTCGGCCCTTCATCATCCCCTGAAACCGTTGTCATCGTCAAGAGGAAACTAGAAGGGGCCGGTTTCAGCATCTAAGGCGACAGTTCCCTGTCTAGACTGCCTGATCAATCCTTCGCGGTCGGTGTTAGAATGCATATGTGCTGGTGGAATTTCCCTCCAACTTCTATGTGCGACCACCGGGTACGCTGACAGGAGAAACCGATCTCGGTCGTTGAATTGAGAGCGGTAGTTCAAGGAATTGGGCGAAGTCCGGAAGCTGGGATAACCGGTTTTCTTCACACTCAAAAAAGCTATATTTGTCGATCTCGGCTCCGAAACGGAAACCCCACAGACGGTTCCTCATATTTGCTAGTCCCGTCCAAGACAAAAGCCTCATGATGAGGTTCATGCGTTTTCCGCCCCTCGGCTCCGAGGCAGTTTCGTACTTGGCCGTGGATAGGAAATCTCCGAAACTGTCTCAACTCCCTCCTATCTCAGGGATTGGAACTTCGGCAAGTCACTTGTGGAGGGTTCACCTTCGATGCGCTACGAAGTAATCCTGTTATTTTTTTTTTTGATTATCCTGACCACCCCCTTTTTGCCGCTATCGCAGAATTCTGGACATGGGACGTTCGGAAGTGGTGCCCTCAGCCATAAAAGGAAAGTCTGAAGCGAGTTCAGATTCCCACTCATTATTATTAATTAATGAAATCGATGCATGTACGTACCCTCTCGATTAGTAGTTATCGCAATTTCAGGTGTCGTCACACAAGAGAGGGTCGAAGAGAAAATAGATTGGCTTCATATGAAACGAAGACTGCAGGTGCGCAACATACGATGGGGAATACGAAGTAGTATTGCTTTCACAGGGGAAGGGGATGGATGAGTAGTAGGGAGAGGGAGAATGAATGCCCTGACACAACATCGCGATAGGGCACGATCGACTGGAAAGTGGATTTGCTTCAACTACTACACCGATTGAGTTTCGACCTCAGGCCATAACCACGGACCGCCTTCGGCCGAGACGGCTTTCCTTCGGCCACGTGCGATTGGGGGTCCGCCTCATCTCCATCCCAAAACATAGCCCCAAACATTTTCGTGAAAGAGGATCTCAATCTCCGACGCCCTAAGGGTCGGTCGCTCAGTAAGCTACAAATACCCCTCCATGTCTATTCATCCCCTCCCACTCTCAAACGCCACTCGGTTTCCATCCCTTTTTGCGGCGCGACGGTCGTAAGGCTGTCAACCTTGCTCTCACCGTCCACCTCCAGATCACACGGGGAGCACCACCACAATGAAAAAGATGCCTGCCCGTCCGATGATCTCTTAAAATGGTTTTTGAGGCAAACGTGTATCTTGCTCAAACAACCTAACCCGAAATTTCCAGTTCTATCGAACGCGCTCCTTTCCAGCGGGTATACAGAATTATCGGTATTCACAGCGGCTCCAATTAGACGCCCACACACATCATAGCGGGCGGCAGTCTTCGTGTCAGAGCCACAATGGAGGGGTTGAGGAACTATGTTGGTTACAATGGCTCATGAACTGCCCATGTTCAGGGTAGGGAACAACATCACATCCGACACCTGATTTAGGATGTTGTCAATATGTCCGTCCTCGGAGGAACTCACACTGTATCCGGCAGCATAAGGCGATGGGGCGGTGGCAGCTACCGAAGCGGGTGACGTGAGCACGGTTTTCGGGGAAATAGCTTCCGAGGTTAGGCCTGGTGCCTTCTTCTTCTTCTTCTTCCTAGAATAGAACGCAGCACTAACTTCCCGGAGGGCGTGGAGAGATGATGCCAAATGCCTGGCCGAATCCGTCCGGGTGTTGTGGTTTACATTTCCATCCCCAGTCACATGTTCAGCGATGACTGCTTCTAATTTCTCAATCAACTCCCACGTCTGTGGGTGAATATGGTCGTTATTGTTGGCAACCAGCAGGAACGCGGATGCGATGGTTCGCTGGAGACTGACCCAGCTACGTGAGCAGTGGGAATGAAGTGAATGCAGCTCAATGAAAGCTTCGATCGTATTCATGAGATTGGTTATACAGTCCTCCCGGACCACCGCACGTCGCTGCTCATCTAGCGGTGCGTCTGGGTCCAAAGATACTCGACACATGACTGAGATATAGTAGGATGAGTGTAGCCGCAACTCGGTCCGCTCAATGTGTTCAGCCAAGGTGACGCAGCGTTCCCGATATCGCAAATGAGGGGTAGTATCTGCAAGAATGCGCTCTATTCGCTGTTTATACTCGCGGATTTCATGATACCGCAGGTGAGAGTGGTGCGACAGCATAAGTCCTCGCAACATCTCCAGCACCACAGAAATAATACGGCAAAGGCTTTCAAAGTAGGAGCGATGGCCAGGCATTGATTTCCTATCATAGGGAATTTCCGGCTGGCTTACCATAGTGATGGATGGTCGGTCGTAAGCTAAGGAGAAATGACTATTCTGGAAAGCCATTGCCCACCTGCGAGAGTTAGAAAATCATGTATCTTCCAGACGGGGGGGCTTGCAGAGGATGCCATACCATACTCTTCTCCGAGACGCTGTGACGTTTTGCGAGAACCCCGGTGTTTCAACATGAAGCCCGAGACTCATACACATCCGCTCTGTCATCCCTGTTGACAAGATTCGTCGTCAGCTTGGCACTCAGGCGATTCCTCACGCCGCTTCTCACTCACCGAGTAAGGTATAAGAAGCACCAGCGTTCATATTATACGATAGCACGTTGCTGATGATTAGCAGAATTTGGATTACTTCTACCGTTGGCTGCGACACATAGTTGATCATTCGCAAGCACTGGTAAGAACACGAGACTAGGAAAGATGTGAGCCCCAAGAAACTCTGGTCGGCAGCAGAAGGCCGCACTCACCATATACCCACGACGTCAACTCCCGCTCCTTCAGAGGCAAGTCGGATAATTGGCAACCTGAAGCTAAAACTGCGAAGAGGAGGCTAAGGAAAGGTAAACTCATGCCAAACGGCTTGACCAGGCCATTCATATCTGGTCGATATGTACCTCCCGCCTTCAGCCGATTTTGCAAGAGTTGATTTGTGTCGTGTTCTAATTTGGAAATGTCTGGAAGTACGGGATATAGTACTGAGCCGATGTCTCTGTAAAAGCGAAGAAACCTGCGGAAGACCCCCATGATCAGCGAAGAGCGCACTCTACGGGAACGGGTCCTGCTAAAGACTCAGAGCCCGCTCTACCCACCTGCGACATTGTTCGTCATCCGGCAACACGCCACAGACCCCGGCGATGTTAAAGGTGTACGGATCAGACGACCAAAGATCGACGAAAGGATATGAGGCGGCCTCGTTTTCCATCGCTAATTCTGCCAGCAAGTCTTCCTTCGGCAACGCGGCCGCCGTACCATCCGAGCCTTTTGTCCTATCCAGAATATCTATCAAAGCCGACTTTGCGCCAATGTGAATGGAGCCCGTTTTCATCGTATTCTCGTTATAGATCCCTTGAGGTGCTGGAGATTTGCCGTCTTCAGTCACCGACTGCTCGGACCGAGGGTCGATGGATTTCCTCGCCGCATGGGTCTGAAAAAGCGAGTTCAGACTGGCTAATATTGACTCCATCGCGCGCATCTTCGAGTTCACCTCATCCCATTCAAACTGAGTAATCGTCACGGTTTCCGACAGAGCATCATCCGAGGTCGGCTCTGCGCTGTAGGAGGGAATGGGGGCATCGTCTCGACTAGACGATATATAGGCTGAACTAGAAGGCAATTGAGGCGTAGAGACAGTTGAGGCGGCAGCTGAAAAGGTAGGATCTGGAATGAGCGGCGGTTTAGATTGGGTTGGCGGCGGACGACCGTAAGAACAAGTAAAGTTACGTTTGACGCAGTTCCCGCACGGGACGTTGCGATCGCAGCGAACCTTACTGGCGCGACATGGTAGACAAGTTTTGCACTCACGAGGCCGGCGTCGGATCGGGTATGTAGGCATTGCGATGGCGACCGAAACGTCCTCTTGTCGCCCCGCCGAATGGGGGATGGGACGAAGTCGGGCGCGATAGAAGGGGGGGAGGAGGAATCGGGGGGGTAGTAGTGCGTAGGGTGATAGAGACAGCACGCGTAGCTGGCATAAAAGTGGCTATTATTATTATTATTATTATTACTGAATGGTTCAACCGAAAGGGCAAGTGTCAGCTTCAGCCATTCGAGATCAGATCGTTGAAGGTCAAGCGAGGCCACCGACGAGCCGCGACCGAAGGGTGCACGAATGAAATGCACGAGAAACAAATCCACTTCTCAATCGATCATCGTTCAACCCCATGAATAGCGCCGGAATCCTCGCACCGAATCTGAGGGTCGAGAAGGGACAAAACCACCTAATAATAGGTATCGGATTACAGTTTCCCTATATTTTTTGCCCTTTTTTTTTCCTTCTCTTTTTTTGGTTCTTTTGCTTCAGAATACCAAAAGCAGAAAAAGAAAGTCGACGGATCGATTTCCGGAGGGCTATTCCGGTTCCGGTTTCTGATCTGGGATAGGAATAGTAGTTTCTTGATATTAAGTCCCAAGGTAAAGAAAGACAGAGCAATGCCCTACGGAGGTCCGTTGAGTGGATTATTATTGGAGCATTGGGGGACCGTTTAGTGACAGCGGCCAAGCGCACCGGCGCACCGGCCAACAAGGTCTCCCGAGATGGCGTGGTTGCAGCGCAGATCGTCTTGTTTTGTTCGCTTATGTTGACCGAATGGGACGTTGCTGAGATGTATATGAGGCGGGGGAAAAAAAATATATATATATATATATATATATTAAGTAAAATATATTCAAATCAACTTTTGAAAGTCTCATCCATTCAATCAATGAGGGTTCACGGGAATCGAATTCGTTTTTCTTCAGGATGGCAATGAAGTCATGTTCGGGAAGATAACGTCAGGATCAGTCTCCTCCCCTCTTCTCGCTCGTTAATTTTGCTCTTTTCAACCTCGGTTCCAACCCTTTGGGGGAGGGGACGAAAGGGAAACGGCGGGAAAAAAAAAAATATCAATTGGGGAAGTTTGAACCCAAACAATAAGCTTGTTTGTTTCCCAACATGTCATGAGTTTACTACAACTGCCCATGTGCCGATCCTCTGCACGGGAATTGAGCTGCAGTTGCATATCAGGTGATCCCGGAGGCTCTCATTGTGTATGGCCTGATCCCCAAGGTTAATTAAAGTGGGTAAATTGAGAAATCCTATTTATTCAACCCTCGGTACACCTCCCCTCTTGCTTCGGGAAATTTCTAATACCATTACTCTATGTACATAACTTCATCATCCATCATACGTGAGAGGGCATTGCCTGAACGAACGACGGGTACATGACCATTCATCATCACATCAAATCAAGTCGTTCATTAGAGTATAGTGGATATCATATGGTTTTCATGTCTGGGAGCCGCCGCTCGGGGTCGGAGATACTTGGGGTACAACCCACCAGTCATGCCAACGCGCCTTGGAGCCCATCTCGGGAATACTCACATGAAGCTTCACAGCATCGGTGGATGTACGGCGTGCTGCCAGTGCCTTCTTCACAGTTTCAATGGCAATGCTCGCCCCGATGCACGCCCGCATCGTATTTTTAGCATCCTTTTTCCAATCTTCTTCAATGGCCAGTGTCAGATTCGCCTGGCCTTGAGGATCCCGGATAAAAGCACCGTTAGCGAGGGTCGCTTCCCAAGCTTTGCGAGCTTCAGAGACGGCTTTCGTGGCACGCTCCAGGACTGTCTCATCACTGTCCCCTTCTAAGATGGCCTCCCGGCGGTATTCGTCGAAGGGAACAAGTTCCGGCAAAGTAATCGGTATGAAGGGCTTCATGCGGAGTTCATACCGTAATCGTTCGCTGGAGTATGCCTGCGCGGCCGCTGCTGTGGGCAAAACTTCATGGCGAGCGAGAAGAACATATAGAGCGTGTAAGGATATGGCAAAGGCATCCACAGCGACTATTTGCGTAGTAAGTCTTTCGAGAAGACGGAGCGTCCTTTGTAAAGCGGCGTGTCGCTCAACGGCATCGCGTTTCTTTCCCGCCAGACCGGTCAGGTTGCGCTTCGCGGCAGCAACGGTAAATGTACGGATTCGGTCAATGTGGCCGAGATGTGTGGAGCAGATGTGGGACAAGTACCAGTACATCCCTGGTAGTTCCTCCGGAGAATAGATGGAAAGTTCGAATCCGAGCTGGATAATGAGCCGGAACTGGCTCAGTTTCTGGTGGTAGGCCCAGCTGCTTAGCGGGTATGAATAGGTAGCGTCGCCGTTTTGGAGCATCAGTGGCGGTTCGTTGTTCAGCGTGCGTAGTTGTTCATCGAGATCTTCGGCCTACGAAGCAATTAGCAACAGGATGCCGTATATGAGAGAAACCGCATAGATACCTCCATCTGTAGATTGTCCCAGTCAACAATTGTATGACATACTGTCCGACGAATACGGCAGCGATTGAGGCACGCACTTCGGAAAGTGTCCACAAACGGCTATCTCCCGAGTTAGCTCGCGGGGGAAACAAACTGAGGGAGATATATCCAGCATCACACCTGAGCAAAGCGTTTAACAAAAGCATCCATGTGGTTGGCTATCTGAAAGCGAGGGTCGGTCGGCATTTCCGTCTCATCTGTGTTGGCTAACAGAAGCGTGCTTGAAGGGAGGACGATTTCCGCAAGCTCATCATATAAGAATTTCTTCACTGGTACAGCTCCCAGAACCATCACGTTACTCATAATCATAGATTGAACAAGTGATCGAATATAAACTGACGGCTGGGGCTTCCGAGACAGCAGAGTCCAAACGGCCACCTAACAACGTTAGAGGATGAGTGGCCAGGAGAAAAATATTCCGTTGGTTCCTTTAAAAGCCTACCTTGAGGTTATGGGGTCCAGAGTAATCCAGGACCTCCAGAAGATCAATAGCATCTTGGCACAACCGTTTCAAATGCGCCAGCGCATCCTCAAAGCTTATTTTTACCATGGGTCGAGGAGGAACTGTGCTGGCCAGTTTTCGTTGGATCTTCCAACTGAACGCTTCAGGCACTGGTCTTCCCAGTGACACCGATTCCGCCATGGGGTCCAATTGCGACAGACAGGATGAGAAGTGACTGGCTGACCGACTCTGCATGATATCGATATCCTGGTCCAAACTGAGAAGGAAATCACGCCGAAAGACCAATCGGCACTTTATTGCTTCTTTTAACTTTCCATCAACACTATCCCCTTGCTCATCAACCCATGAAATCGCCCGATCCAAGAGATTGCGGAAATATTCATGGTCGAACTGCGACAGCAGGCTGCGGTTGTACAATTGGGTGACAAAGTCTTCCTCCTATATGCGTTTAGCGATCGTATATGTAAATGTGAAAGCCGTGTGACTTACCTCGTAGAAATACTCATTTATCACTCGCGCATGGACAAAATCGCAACATTTGATAAGCGCAAGACAATAGGCACGTAGCACGAAATGTACCATCCCAGGCTCTTCCTTATTCCTAGCGGATCCCGGACGACAAAAGTGTGCTTCTTCTACCGTTTTCGGTATGGGCCAAAGGAGTTTATCAAGGTATAGAGAGGTAAAAAGTGTTTGCGAGAGTGGGTGTCCCATATGCCACGCCATCTACCATTGCGCGGTTTGTCTCAGTATATCTTCGCTTAAGCGGATGCTCGTCGCTCTATGGGAAGGCAACCACCTACCTCATGACATAACAGTTCATCCATTATCCCTATCACCTGCTCCGGAGCCAGCTCCCGCGTGGTATCGTAGTCGTCCTCTAATGCTTGCACGTCGTTTTGTCCCGGTCCAAGATAGCCACTGTCCATTTTCGAGTCCATAATCTGCGATAACACCACATATGAGCTTCAGGTCACGAAAAGTTAAACAGCCCTTGGGAGTAAATAGCATGAGCTCACCTCCAGTGCGCCCACTGCCTCGAACAACGTGAAGTACTCATCTTTAACGAGCTGGCCAGTTCGCAATCCTAAGACCAAGGAAACAATTATCAGAAACCCATGTTACGTAGTAGCAAATAATATAGACAAAAAAAA